TGTAAAATCTGTGGTAATGTCTCCTAGATCTTGATATTGTAATTTTAAAAATGTATAACTGATATTGTGTAACAGGAAGAAAAGGTCTAAAGGAGCAGGGGAATTGGGAGGGGTAGGGGAAAGGTAAAAAGGGAATAGAAAAAATATGAGAAAAGGAAAAAAATGGAAACAAAGTCTTTGCAAATAGGGAAGGATCAAAGGGGTGAAGGGAGGGCAAGGGAAGGGGAAAAAAAAAAGAACCAATATAGTCATGTAATGGTACAAGATCCCAATGATGAATGTAACTGTATTTTACACCTAAAATGTACCAATAAAGTTAATGGGGAAAAAAATTAAAAAATAAAAAAAGAAGTATTATGGGACTTGTTGTCATATATATATAATATATATGTATGATATATATTGCACATTATATATGATATATCCACACATCTGTCATATATATATATGACAGGTGTGTATATTACACCGGGACAGTCAGAATGCTAATACCAAAAATCTGACAACAGGGACAGCTTCAGAAGCCATGACCTACTTGCTACCACATCGAATATTTATTTTTCACTCTGATTTTACTTAATCTTTATTAAACATTCTCTACTTAAAACTCTGTCTTCCTAAGCTAGGGGTAGAGTTCAGTGGTACAATGTTTATGAGGAAAGCATATGGCTGAGTATTTGACCTCTAGCACCAAGGAAGGAAGGGAGGGAAGGAAGGAAGGAAGGAGGGAAGAAAGGAAAGAAGGAAAAAAAGGGAAAAGAAAGAAAACATCTGTCTTCCTATGACTTTTTATGGAAAAGTCTACTTGTGGCTGTATTTTTCCCCCGACTCTGGTCTCAAGTTTTCTCATTTCTTCTGGGTCACCTAATTAATTTCTATGGCCTCCAAGATTTCTGCCTTCAATATAGATCTACTCCAAATGCATTATATTTCAAGAACTCTGCATCTAATTGCTTCATGAACATTACTGACATTAAGAAACTTTGAAATCAGAAGGCTGAGGTCCAGACTCATTTTACTGTTCACTGTTCACTTCAGACCAGGTGTAGATCTAAGCAATACACTGGATTCCATTCTGTCCTTCACAGTCAGAAAAGGAAGGCTATAAATTCAGCCTTATAAATTTCTCTTTAACTTGCACCCTCCTTTACATTTTAACTTATTTAATATCTATGTAATTTTATAATATATTTATATACTATAACACAATAATTGAGCATGTTTATGTACTATATGTTTTAAATATGTTATTGACAAAATTATGTATTTCTCATGTATAAAATGGCATTTTGAAATATGTATATATTGTGGAAAGGCTAAATGGAGCTATTAACATGTTGAGCTAATTAAAATACATTAATGAACATATGCAATCCCCCACATATTTGTCATTTTTGTAGTAAGGACACAAAATCTACACTCTCAGAGATTTTTCAAGAACATAAACCATCATTAATAACTATGGTCACCATATTGTTCCATAAATTTCTTGAACTAATTCCTATCTAAAATTTTTTGTCCTTTGATTAACCTCCCCCCCCAAAAAAAAACTCCCCAACCCTTCCCTGACCCCTCCCCAACTCCCTGGAAACGAGTCTGGCTCTTTTCTTCCACAAGATCAATTTTTTCAGATACCACATATAGATTAAGTGAAATCATGAGGTATTTGTCTTTCTGTGCCTGCCTTACTTCACTTAACATAATGTCTTCAAGGTTAGTCCAAATTGCAAAAAATGACAAGATTTTGATTTTCTTAAGGCTGAACAGTATTCCACTGTGTACACATACCATATTTTCTTTATCCTATGTACTGGACACATAGGTTAATTCCATATTTTGGCTACTGGGAATAGTGCTTTAATAAAAT